TCCCAGGGTGGCCCAGTGCAGGCAGGCCCTCATGCTCTCAGAGAGCCTGAGCACCTTCTGATGCTGCAGAGGCATGACCTGTCTGTTTACAATGACCAATTATCAGCACAGGGGCTCCAAGAAGCACCCAGGACCCACACACATTGCTCCTCACCCCTGCAGTGTACCAGGGGCCTTATTCCTACTTACAACCAGAGTCAAAGATGCCTGATAAGACGGGGTGTCAAGAATCCTGTCTCTAATGCCGGGCGGCGGTGTCACACGCCTTTAATCCCAGCACTCGGGAGGCAAAGGCAGGCGGATCTTTGTGAGTTCAAGGCCAGCCTGGACTACAGAGCGAGATCCAGGAAAGGCGCAAAGCTACACAGAGAAACCCTGTCTCGAAAAAACAAAACAAAACAAAAAACAAAACATTGCTGCATCTAACTACCACTCAGGAGAGAGGCGGCATCCGGCTGGGAAAGTGATAAAAACATTTACGCAAGAGTAAAGGCTGGAAAATGAACTCCCTGTGAGTCCTAGAGCTAGCTGAAGGCAGCACCATACATACATATGCATATATGTGTATATATGTATGTATGTGTGTGTGTGTGTGTGTATACACAAGTTGTTGTTAATACTGTCAGCTTGACAGGGTCCAGAGCCACCTAGGAGACCAGCCTCTGGGCATGTCAGTGGGGGGTTATCTCTACTAAGTTAGTGGAGGCTGGCTTTAACTGTGGGTAGCTCATTTCATAGGCTGGGGTCCTGGGCTGAGTGAACAGGAGAAAGAGGCCCTGAGCAGCAGCTTTCTCCTCTCTCTGCTTCCTGCCTGTGGCTGCAATGTGATCAGCTGCTTCCTGCTCCTGGTACCATGCCTTTCCTGCCATAATGGCAAAACAAACCTTTTTTTTTCCCCTTAAGTTGATTTTGTGAGATATTTTGTTGCAGCTATGAGATACCTATTACAACTAATATCTGCCTGGGTGGGGGTGCGAAAGAAGAAAAAGTTAGGATAATATAATAATTCCTGCTTTATACAGGAGTTTGTATGTAAGGGAGGTACTGAGTATAAAGCACTTTGCACAGTACCTAGTACCGGAAGCACTCATCGGTTGTAGCTGGTTTGCTGCTCTAACTAGGTGATCAGCACTAAGAGAGCAGGCATCCTGTCTGCCTTGTATGCATTGCTCACTAGCTGTGTGGGTTCGCACGGAAGAACAAATGTTCAGGCATCTCCCTCGGTACTACCCCTGCTGTGGGTCGTGTCGGGGGTGCTAGGGGCCAGGCTCTCCTCGGAGCCACACCCCTCGGAGCGGCAGCTGCCAGGGCCAGGCTATTGTTGTGGCTAAGATTCTTTCCCCAAATGGAAAGCCACAAATTAGAGAGGAGCTTTGGCTCCGCTCTCAGGAATTGAGGGAGGCCACCAGCCCATGGGGGGGGGGGGGGCTCCTTCCAGGTCAGAGTCCCTGTCTGGGCGCAAACCTGCACCCTCTCAATACTACGTTCTCTGCACCCCACCGTCTCTCTAAGCCTCTTGCCCTCCCTGAGACCCCTGCTCCTGCTGTCCTCTGCCCTGAGGCTACCAGGGCTCTTTCACCCCTAGCCCAAACAACAGTGTCGTCCCCCACCCCCAGGCCCTGCTCAAATCCCCTCTTTGAAGCTCCCCACCCCATCCAAGCGGAACAAATCGCCCCTGCCCCACCCCACCCCCACCCGGTCATCTGCTTTCTTCGTCTCCTTGCCACAGAGCTGGTCAGTCTTCCTCTGTGGCCCCCTGCCCCACCTCGGCCGCCAACCTCCCCATGAGTCCCTCAAGAGGATGTGACCCCCGTCTGCTGACCCCACAGCACAGGGAAAGTGTCCCCAATGATCTGTTGCCAGCAGCTGAGAGTGAGGCAGGCGGGGGCGGGGGCAGGGAGAAAAGGCTTAGGCCACAGGTCCAAGTCTGAGGGCGGCGTCGGGTGGAGAGCCCAAGGAGAGGTCAGCTCCATCCACCATTCCTGGCTTGCCACAAGGTGCTCGTGATTTCTCAGCCCACCCTCCGACGACACAAAAGCCCGTCTCATCCTCCACATTGGACAAGAAGGGCTGCCCAGAGAGGTTATGTTTTTGTTGGAGGCAATGTCAAAAAAAAGAGTGGAGAGTCAGGATTCGAATCAAGACAGGGCTGAAGTGTGAATGGTCGTGGCTTAGGGACTGTGGCTGCCTGGGGAGATGTAGACAAGAGTCTCCTTCGTGACATGCAGGCATGAGGTCTGAAGCCAGATCTGAAGGCTTCTCGGGGCCTATCTCACTGTTCCCGACAGTCTGCCTGTCAACCCTCTCCTGAAAGGAGCCGCTTCTGACTCAGGCCCATTCCCAGCTCAGGTGTTCCGGGAATGAGGTCTGAGGTCGGATATAGGAAGGAAACGGCCCTCAGACTTAGCCTGCCCCTCCCCCAGGTCCTGGCTAGTGGGCAGGAAGGAGCCACTTTAAAGATTTCCCTGGGGACCTATGACCAGAAAGAGAGAGGATCTGGCCCTTGTTGAGTGCCCCTGCGAATTGAGGGCCGCTGGATAGAAGGATGTGGGCCCCCATCCTCTGAGGACAGACAGATATATGACCTCCCGTCCTTCTGTTTCTTGTCCCTCTTATTCCCCCCAGCTCTTTCGGGGTCCCTCACCATTTGCCTTCTGTGTGCGCCTGCTCAGGCTGTGTGTTCCTGGGTCTGTGTCTGTCCCTAGATACTTTGTCCACTGGTGTCCTGGCACGAGGCACTGACACTTCAGACTCTCACCCTCCAACTGAAGACCCCCAAGAGCCTAGCTAGGGCACTGCCCTCTGACTAGGGCTCTCTAAGTCTCTGCCCTCGGACTGAGTACTGAGCGGGAGCCTACTCATTTCAGAAGTGTGGAAAACAAGACATCCAATCAGGAGGACCCCCCTGGACCCTCTGGGTTCCCCTTCCAGTAGTCTAGCATCTGTTCTTGATCCCCAGAACACAGCTGTGAAGCCCCCCCCCCGCCCCCCCGCCCCGCCAGTCCCTCCACCTAACCCGGATGCTCCTTTAAAAGCAGAGGAGTGGGGGTGGCCTCAGGGAGACACTAGGCCCCATCCTCCCCCTGGCAGGCCAGGTTTCCTGCCATTGACAGCATCCCAGCTGGGCCCCCGCCCGGTCTCCCCCCTGTTTAACCCCTTCATGCTCAGGCCACAGGGCTACTGGCCTGGACCCTACCTGCATCTACTGAACTAGAAGGGACCCCGTTTCCCTGGATTAAATATATGATCACGGTATGAAGTCACAAGAACGGCCCTTAGCACATATATCTTCCTCAATAAAAGTCGCCTGTTGGGGTGAAAATGTGGCTCAGTTGGTGCAGGGCTTGCTTCGCATACACAGGGCCTGGGTTCCACCCCCAGCACCGGACTGCACAAAATCAGGCACGGTGGCTCGGTGGCTCGTGCCTGGAATTCCAGCACTCTAGAGGTGGGGATAGGAGGATTAGAGGTTCAAGGTCAGCCTGGTCTACTTGACACCCCTTCTCAAAACGGAACAAACAGCCATCATCGTGTGAATTTGGACAGGTCATTTCACTACCCTAAGCCTCAGTCTCCTCAGCTCTAAATGGGAAAAATGATAAAACTTAACCCCAAAGATTGTCTTCGAGATGAATTGTGACAATGTGCTGAAAGTATTTTGTCAAATGCTGTAACAAGACAATTTTGTTGTTATGGACAAAAATAAATACCCCCTCTTCCCCTTCATAACAGTGGGAGAGGGATCCAGGGGCTCACAGAAGGTCAGGGACCAGGGGTGAGGGGGACTGGGTCCAAGCACTGACCTTTGAACTCTGGGTGACGGAGCGTCCACCTGTGGAGAGTGTAACACTCCAATGGAAGGCTTCTCCTCTGTACAAACAGGGTTGGGGAAATCTGGCAGGCTCCCCAGGGAGGAAGCCAGGGGAGTCTCCTCCACCTCTCTCTTCCATCAAGGTATGTTGTGTGTCCCAGCGTCTTCCCATCCCATTCCAGGCCTGCGGAAGGTAACAGCATCTTCTGGCCAGGTGATGAGCCTTGGGTTCTCAGACAGACTCTTGGTCTAGCCAGACAGACATGGGGGCAGAGGAGAGAGGGCTCTGGGGGTCTGCGCATGTCCCTCCTGCTAGACTCACTTCCTCCCCGTGAAGTGGAGTTACTATTCCTGCTGGGCCCTACCTAGGCTCCAGGGGAGGGGGCTCAGGGGAGATCAAGCGCATAGATGGGACGTGCCTTGCAATCATGAAAAGTGTTAGAAGGAAGGGAGGGATTTATGCTAAGTGGTCGGGCTGGCAGGGGGTGGGCGCAACTGGGAGAGAAGCTGAGGCAGAGCCCAAGGGAGCCCCAGCTTTGAACTCTAGAGGGGTGGGGCTCCTTCCTGGCTAGGGCTTCCCCTTGAGATAAATGGTGTCAGCAAAGAGTGGGGACCACTAGGGATCCCAGGTAGGAGGCCAAAGGATGGAGGCTTAGCCCTGCAAGGCCTCCTCCATCACACCCTTCCCGTTTGCCATCACTGGGGCAGGACCACCGAGTTCTTGCTCAGTCCTCATGCTAAGTCTTGCTGGGACAGGCTCTCAACACACACACCTGCAGCACCCTCACCCACCCTTAGGCTGCAGATGCCCGGCTCATCTCTAGGAAGAGCAGGCTTGCCACACCCCAGTACCGGGATTAAAACAGGCCTATACCAGCTAGAGGGGAAAAGCAGATGGCATATCACCCTCTTCTGTCCTCCAGTCAGAGCATGGAGGCTTCAGAAGGAGCCTGGGGAGTAGAAGGTCTCGTTTGGGGTCATGGTACTTCAGCCCAGGTTTACGGTGCCTCCATGGCAACCATCGAACCCGACAGAACTGACTTAACCATCTGTAAAGTTGCTGGACACGGCTCACAGGTCCTGTCAGCACCAAGACTGGTCAGGAAAGAGTTAATTGAGTCTGAGCTCTGGGTCAGGAAGGGTTAACCCAGGGGGTGGAGGCTCTTCACTTTTCCTGTGGAGAGGAAGGCTTGGCTGCCACCAAAGTTACTCCCTGGTCCCCGCTGTCCTTCTGGCCTTCAGTCTGGGCGTGCCGAGGGACCCCTGTAACTCGGTGTCTCCACACGGAGGTGAGTGCCTCGGGGTGGGAGGGTATCAGAGCAGGAGGGCACCTTGGGAGCGCTGGTAAGGAGGCTAGTGCCAAGCTACTGAACTTGGAGGCGCCAATGTTGAGAGCTGAAGCCTCTAAGTGGACAGAGGAGGAATTTCTAACTCAAGGGCTGGGAGAGGCTAGGTAACAGGGACAGAGGACAAGACTGACTGCCAGTCTAGCATGGGCCATCTGTGGTCAAACATCAAAGCCAGCCCAGAAAACAGGGGAGAAGCAGGGGACAGCAGACTATTTTGGTCCTTGTGTTTAGGGACTTTTTATAGCCTCCTTGCTCAAGGCTACAGAGAGAAGGAGGGGACAGAGGCCATCCACGAGGTCAGACAAGCTCAGTGCCCTCCTGGGACCTTGGCATCTGACCCAGTATCGTCCCTGCGTGAACAGAGCGGGACACTGGCAGGCTGTCCTTGCTGCCTAGGTTTCTGCCACAGTGGGCAGATTCACTACGTACTAGGTGGCCATGTGGAGTAGTGTGGGGAAAGTTTTCAGGTTGGACCGGGGCTGAAGTGGCCAGGGTCTCCGCTCTAAGGCCTCTGGGAAGGGTGGCGTGCACATCCGTCTTCACACAGCCTTGCCTAGTCTGTGCCTTTTTGCCTCCAGAAGCAAGGTCCCTTCAGACCCCAGAACCAATAAGTGTCTTCCAGCTGTATGGGAACGGGAAATGGGAGGACAGGGGTGGGTGTGTTGGCCATGTGGGTGGCCCATTCTGTCAGCTAACAAGGAGACCGTCAGCTCTTGATTTACTGTCCCTTCGGCCCTTTTCCCCCGGGACAAGGGAGGCGAAGAAGAAGGGTCAGAGGTTTCTGGATCAGAAGCCCGCAGGGACCCCGAGGGCAGATTTCTGGGTGTGCAGGTTATTAGGCAGACTCAGTGGCGGGGAAGGCTTAGTGAGACTGGGGTTCCTGCCGGGACCCACAGCATCAGAGCCAGAACCCAAACACCGGAGAGGAGTTCTGACCCGCAAGCCGGGGGGTCCAAGACGATAAGGCGAAATCTGGGTCCCAGGTGGCACCCTGACTCTCAAAAGGACCCACACAAGCCCTGTCCTCTCCTGGCCACTGTCCTGGGCTGACATGGGAGTGCAGGGTTGGAGGAGGTGGTGTTTACCGGTTAGGTTTTTCTGGAGTCCCCTTGGCATAGGGCACACAGTGGCTGGCTGTAGAGACTGGGGACCACCTCCCTCTCCTTCCTGAATAGCCCTGCTGGGCCTGGGCGAGGAAGCTGGCAGCAGTTCCTAGAGGTTTCTACCCTATGGTTATGTCCCTGACCTCGGTGCTTGGGGGCGGGAAGGGTGGGCCGGCTGCAGGCAGCCTGTGGCCGCGGAACCTCCTTGTCTTGGGCTTGAAGTTGCTCTGTTGGGAAGAGGTATTTTTTCCGGTTAAAGCCGATTTCGGGAATTGAGCTAGGGCCCGCCTGATTTTCCTTTCCAAGTGTCCTGCTTGCTTGTACCAGATCAGAGCACTCTCAAAGGGGCATTAAATCCCCTCCCCCCAAATTATCCAATGCCTCTTAAGGATTGGGGAGGGGTGGGTCTAGCTCTCGCTCCCTGGGCATGGCACCAGCTGATGGGGGAGGGGTGACTGGCTGATCCTCTACCCAGGAATGCCTGCAGGAGAGGGGCAGGGACAGCCTACCCTCTCCCAGACAGTTCCTCTCTCCCTGCAGGCCGCAGGAACTCCGGAGAATTGTTCGCTGCTCCTCAGCTACCTGCGCATCCCTAACTGTGCATGGAGCACTGACCTGCCCAGCTCCACTAAGATGCTCCTGGCCTCTCCCTCCACGCCATCGAGGGCACGGACCCCCAGCGCCGTGGAGAGGCTGGAGGCCGACAAAGCCAAGTACGTCAAGACGCAGCAGGTGATAGTACGTCGTCAGGAGCCAGCCCTGCGAGGGGGACCAGGACCGCTGACGCCACACCCTTGCAATGAGCTGGGGGCCTCTGCATCACCCAGGACGCCGGGGCCTGCCCGCCGGGGTAGCGGCAGGCGACAGCCAAGGCCTGACTCCCTCATCTTCTACCGCCAGAAGCGGGACTGCAAGGCTTCGGTGAACAAAGAGAACGCCAAGGGCCAGGGGCTAGTACGACGCCTCTTCCTGGGCGCCTCCCGGGATGCTGCCCCGAGCAGCCCGGGACCTACAGAGAGACCCGCGGCTCCTGCGGGCTGGGCTGGGTCCCCGGATGCTCCGGAGGCGACAGGGAAGAGAGCGTTGTGTCCCACGTGCTCGCTGCCCCTGTCGGAGAAGGAGCGCTTCTTCAACTACTGCGGCCTGGAGCGCGCGCTGGTGGAGGTGCTGGGCGCCGAGCGCTTCTCCCCGCAGAGCTGGGGCGCCGAGCACAGCCCGCAGGTCGCCACGTCGCCGCCGCCGGGCTCCGGGGACACCAGCGATTGGACATCCAGCGACGGGGACGCGGGCAGCCGGGACTGTGCGGGAGGCGGCGGTGGCGGCGGCGGCTCGGAGGCGGCGGGGTCCGCGCGGGACGGACGCCCCTCGGTGTCAGTGGTGGAACGCAACGCGCGCGTCATCCAGTGGTTGTACGGCTGCCAGCGCGCGCGCGCCCCGCCGCGCGAGTCCGAGGTGTGAGCATCACGGCCCCCGAGACGGCTCCCGGAGAGCTCGCCGCGTCCGTGAACAAACCCTTTGCCTAGATCTGTTTTCCCCATCTGCACCCTGAGCAGGCGGGACCCCGAGGGCCAGGCGCAGATTAAGGAAAGGGGTGGGGTGGGGGGTAACGTAGCCTTTCTGGAGGCTGAATGTGAGCAGCGATGGACTGGGGTGGGTGGGAGATGAACGAACTACTGAATAAAGCTAAAATATTATTTAATAAAGGGATCGTGAGTGTGGCTCTGCGGGCAGAGGTTGGGGAAAGGGGAGGACTGGTCTGCGTGGCTGAGTGTGTGGGTTGTGAGTGTGGGTTCCAGGCTGAGTGTGACCTTGGCCAAGCACTCCGCTTTTCTGGGTTATTAAAGGCGTAAATAGCGTCCTGGAGTAGTTGTAATGCATATGGCAAATGTACCTGGAATATAGAAAGTGTTCAATAAACGTAGCTTGCTTGAGCCACCCAGGATTCTTGGAGCTTTGCGTCCCATTCCCGTCCCCCATGGTCCTGAGGTAAGAAAGTCTGAGTTTTGGAGGGTCCGGAATGGAAGTCATTAAAACTGGGGCATCCTTGGGTCAGGATTTTGCCATCTGTAACCTGCTGTCTGTCTGTCTCTGTCTCTCTCTCTGTCTCTCTCTTTCTCTCTCTCTGTGTGTGTGTGTGTGTGTGTGTGTGTGTGTCTGTCTGTCTGTCTGTCTGTCCCAGGCCAGCCTCACCCTGCTAGCAACCACTGAGGTTTATGCGATAACTGGGGATCGAACCCAGGGCTTCATGTAGTAGGCAAGTCCTCTACCATCCGAGCTATACTTCCCGGCAGAGTTCCTCCACCCCACCCCACCCCCACCCCCCACCCCACCCCCGCTCCAGAACACACACAGTCGCAGGTTTTCTTCACAGGTTCCCGTCGAAGCCTTTGTTCAGGATCCCCCTCCTCTGCCTTAGGTTTCCTTCCCTAACTGTATTCTTGGAAGATCACACGTACAGTCTCCTCCAGGAAACTGCCCCCAAAATACCCGATCTGCCTCCTCCTCTCTGAGCTCACAGGGGCAGCTGCGTTTTGTTCCTCAACAAACCCTGGTCTGGGACCCGCTGGTAGAGAGCTGCCTCGTTCGTTACTCCAGGATTTTCACACATTTTCAATCAGCGTCTGCGGTTGGGCCACCGGCAGTGTTTGCTGAACGAAAGGAAGCGGGACAGGGCAGTGGAGCGCGTCCTCCGGGGCTTTCTGGAAAGTTGTACCTTAAATCTAAGGCCACCCATCCTGCCACCTGGAGTGTCTCGGCACTTCCGTCGGGAAAGAAGGCGAGGAACCCTTTAGCTGGATCCCGCCTGAGATCGCCCACCTAAAAGTAGCTTTTCCTGTTGTCGGGAAAGAACTGACACTGTCACACCGGGTGTCGATCCAGGAGTTTTATGGGAGGTAGGGAAGAGCGGGCCCCGGCTAGTCGCCCTTGGGCGCGGTCTTCACCCTCATCTCTGCCAGTTTGTGGGTGAGGAAACCCCACTTGAAGCCTGCCGCGGGGTCCACCTCCCGGGTCTCGGGGCACTCGGTGGCCTCCTCGGCCGGCTTGTCCCCGGGCTCGGGGTCCCGCTCCGCGGGGGTCTCCACGCCGCGCAGCATGGACGCCGCCGCCTGCTGTTGCTGCTGCCATCTGCTGGCGAACGCGTCCCAGAATCCCGGCCCGCGCGGCTCGGTCTCGGCCGCGGCCGCCTGCGACGGGGGAGGCGCCGCCAGCGGGCTGCAGGAGAGGCGGGGGTCAGCGGGCTGGCCCGGGGTCCCAGAAGGGGACAGTGGGCAGGAGAAGGGACAAGAGGTGCGGTCAGGGGGAGTCGGGGTAAGGTCAGGGCCTGCAAGCAAAGGGAGGGTTCAGAGGCTCTGGGAAAAACCGGTCAAGTGGGACAGGGTCGGGAGAGGGCTGGGCAGGGGGGACCCGGGATCCCCGAGTTGGGTGGAGCGGTCAGGAGTTTGGAGAGAATAGACTAACGGAAACAAGCCAGGTCCGGAAAGCCAAGGAGGGTCCTAAGAGGGGAAGGGCACGGGAGAGAGTGGGGTGGGCTTGCTTAGGTCCATAGCAGGGACACCCCCACAAAACACACACACACACACACACACACACACACACACACACACACACACACACACACACACACACACACACACACACACACACACACACACACACCCCGCGGGAGGCGGGGAGAGCCAGGCCAGCAAAGTGGTTAGGCTCTAGGATGGAGGAAAGAGGAACTGGGTACGCGGGAGAAAGTGGAGGAAATCCTAGCACAGATGCTTAGGAAAGAAGAGGTGGAAGCGGAAAGGCTGTGAAGGAGGGATAATAACGCCCGAAGAAGGAGCATTGTTTCTGGAGGAGCCTTGCCTCTGGAAGAGTCCTCAGAGGACTGGGACGGGCAGGCAGAGGAGGTTAGGGGGTGGGGAGGAAAGGAACCTCGGCGGCAAGGATAGTGGATGGGGGGGGGGTGCAGAGCAGAAGGGAATGTGATGTGGGTGCGCAGGGCTGAGGAAAAGGCCGAGATGCGGTGTGTGTACGAGACAGGGCCAGCGGGGATGAAGCCCTAGGTCTGCTCTCAACACCCAAGACCTTATAAAGCAGTGCTTTCCGAACCGGTGTGCCTTGGGGGGTCCTCTGGGATCCTCAGGTCTCTATGTACACCAAGAGAATCAGAGGAAGGGAACCTAGGTTTGGTCACCGCTGCTTTGGAGGGGGAGGATTTACCATCTAGACCCACCCTTTGTTGCAGGCACCTAAAAAGGCCTTCTCTGCTGTCCTGGGTTCTAGGGAGTTGGCCGTCCTGAGGAAGAGGGAGGAGCTACCCATAAGGACTTCCCGGTTACCTCAGTCCCAAGAGATCTGACCCCGCTGTATCCTGATAAGAGGATAGAGCATACAGGGGTGATGAACAGAGCACAGGGAGCCAGCATGGCAGAAGAGAGATCTTAGGACCCTTCCGCCCCTCGCCGCCCCGCCCCCTGAGGCCACACGTACTGATCAGCGCAGGGCTCCGGTGGCAGCAGCTTGTCCTCATCTTCTTTGTTAAACAGAGATGACATGGTCAGCCAGCCCTTCACCCCCACCCCCTGAACCTGGGAGGAAAGAGCTGAGAGTCAGGAGCGCATGCCGCCACAGCCTCCGCCAGGCTTCCCCGGGTTGGGTGGAAGACTGGAGAACTCACCCTTCGGGCCAGCTGTGACACTGGGTTGAAGGCCTCCTCCTGGGGTTCTGCCGCCTCAGACTCCACTAATGCTGGGTTCTCCCCCTGGGACACAAGACCCCACCCACCCAGCATGAGAGAAGCCTCATTGCTAGCCAGTGCACACACACACACTTACACACCCATTTTGCATCTCCTCTAGGGCACATGGGAATGCTCACAGGTAGACTACATAATGCCTCTGGTCAATACACAGGCTTGCATGGTCAATCTGCATAGATACCTCTAAGCACATACACTTGCCCACTCCCACACATACCCAAACACACACACACACACACACACACACACACACACACATAGAGTGGACAAGGGCATGCTATGCACACGACTACAGACACACACCTGTACGTGAGCACAGCTACCCCTTTCCTTCTGTGCACAGGTGTATGAGCGGTTAGGCAGTCACACAAGGACACTCACGTGGTTAAACAACCCATTCCTGCAGGCAGCTAGCTAGACAGAGGCCTGTGCAGAGCTGTCAAAATTTCTCCACCAACCAAATGCAACACCTGCAAATGCCTACATGAAAGCATACAGGTCCAGAATCCTGCTTAAAATACATATCCATATAAAAATCACTAAATCCAGTTCACACCTGTACTGGAGTTTCCACGGAGGCACTAGTTGTAGCATTTTCCTAGACATGTCCTTAGAATCCCAGTCTTGGACACCAGCATGTCTAGCCATATGCTTAGCCACCCTCTCACCCACCCCTGTGGGGCTAGTTTCCGCCCCTGCCACATCCATTTGTGTGGCTGCCACTTATCACAACTTCCAGACATAAACTCCTAGGTTCAAAGTCCATTCTGCCCTCCCCCTCAGAACTAAGTATGGTCTAAGTATGGCTTTGATGGAATGCTGCTACTGTGGCCCACAGAGCATAAGGACTGCTGACCCCCTATTCCCACACGCAGGCGCTCATACCTCTCCAGGCAAGCCGTCTCCCTTCTTAGCTTTGTCTACTAGAAAGCTGTGACGAGCTTAACGGACTTCTGTAGGTACTGCCAAGTGGCATTAGAACAATCTTTATCTTATGGCAGGCAGTTCACGAGATCCTTGGAATCAGCAGTGCCTGCTTCGCCCATGGCCCAAGCTCTCCCCTTTCCTGTGTTTTTCAACATCTCCATCATGCTGTTTGTAATCCCTGAATGTGCCTACAGTCTTTGCATAAAAGAATCTGTGTCCTCTCCGGCTTATTTAATGTTCTTTATACCCCCCTCCGCCTTTGCTGTCCCTCTGTTCTAGAAAACATGGCCAGTACCCACCTCCTCCGCCAGGTCCTCTTCAGATTCTCCACCCAGAGTCTGTAGCACTTTGGACTTGTAAGCTTTCCAGAAAGCTTGGTTCATGGCTGCGGGGGAGAGGGGCCTGGCACCCAAACACAGAAGGTGGTAGCTTAACGGGCACCCGTGGATCTGGCTCCAGAAACTTGGAGGAACCAAGAGCCTGTCCCAGGGATCTGGTGACTTCATGAAAGATGCACCATTCTCCCCAGCTGGCACAGTGCCGAGCAGGTAAACCGGATCCCAGTGATTCTGAGGTTGGGGCAGGCTTGTGCCACCTCAGCCCCTTGTCTTGACCCATATTGGCCAAAGTTAAGGAAGACAGCTCTTTGGAGAGTCCGTTTTTCCTGCACTTAGGAATACTGGTGGCTGTTCAGCTCTTAGGAGAGCTGCAGAAAAACTTTTCCACTCAAATTCTTGAGTCCAGGGCCCACACCTGTGCATCCTCTGACTGTAGTCACACCAGCCATGTTTTCCTCGGGGCCCCGCCCTGTATCTCTACTCAGCCTTCACGAGCTGGAGTGGGAAGGTCCCCAGGCCACCTCCAGTGAGCACTCTGGGCTTCCATTTCATTCCTTTGTCTGGCCTAGAAACCTGTTCTCCCCCGGGATGCACGTGCCCGTCTCCCTGTTTCCTGGCAACTGGTTCCAAAGAGTCGGAACCCTGAATTATTGCTGAGCTCCTCTGCCCCCATACGGTGGAGTTGGCTCTGGCCAGCCTGAGCGGCTCCAGGCCAAGATGAGCGAAGAAAGGCCCTCAGCTCTCGCCTTACTCTAAGCACACACTTCTTGGTTATTTCCCCTTTTTCTGCCAGCCCTCTCCTGGGAGCCTGGGCATAGAGAAAGAAAGCAGAGATGAGCAACATTTCCTCTTGGGCAGGGGATGGAGTCCGCCTGTTAGACCAGCTGCCTGGCATCTGTGAGGCCCTGGGTTCCATCCCCAGCACTGAGAAACCAACCAACCAACCAACCACCAAAAAACAGAAAAACTGACCCCTCTTCAAGGACGGAACACCTCCCCAGGTGCTAGATTCTCTGGGAAACAGTTCTCCACTCTTGGCCCCATGAATTTGCCTAGGAGTAGAGGGAGGACAGAAGAGACACAGACCCAAGAAAATAACGAGGGAGAGGCAAGAAGAGGCAAGAAGAGCCTAGGGGTAACCCTCTGGGTGCCCCATCCGTGATTCCAAACTTATTCTCATTTATGAAATAATTTATTCATGGCACAAACATCAGTGCTTTCCAGAGACGTTGAAAGTATCCTCTCCAACTGAAATCCGAGGTGCGAAAACCGGGAAGTAATGATGGGACCGGCAGAGTGGAAGGATCCGCTGCCCCCAGGCCACTGCCCCTCAAGAGCCCAGTCACTATCATCCACGGCCACCGGGGGGCGCTCCAGCCACCAGCCCGTCCGTGACGCCATCAGAGGCGGTCTGGACAATCTTGCTCCGCCCCCGGGCGGACCTCTCGTGGCGTCATCGAGCGGCCCGGAAGCTCCACCACGTGTGGGTCTTTCCCTACACCCAGCTCCTTGGTCTTGGTGTCACTGATCATGGGTCGCTCCCGCAGGACCGGCGCGCACCGAGCACATTCCTTAGCCCGCCAGATGAAGGCCAAGAAGCGGCGGCCAGACCTGGATGAGATTCACCGCGAGCTGCGGCCGCAGGGGCTCCCGCGGCCCAAGCCAGAGCTGGACGCCGAGCCCGACCCGGACCTGCCAGGGGGCGGCCTGCATCGCTGTCTGGCCTGCGCGTGAGTCCAGCCCGGGGCCGAGCAGGGTTTGAGGTACCAGCCCCATTGCGATGAGATCCGGGCGGCGAGGCTCGTGGGATCTCCTGTCTTGGGACCCGTGGGTCAGCCCGCCTCCCATCTCTTCGGGCTCGGAATCTGGTATCCGGGGACGAGTTAGGGCCAGGGAGGTAGGCATGCATACCTGAAAGGCCTCACCACCTCTTTACTCTCTCCCTTCACCCTACATCCCTGCAGGAGGTACTTCATCGATTCCGCCAACCTGAAGACCCACTTCCGATCCAAAGACCACAAGAAAAGGTATGAAGGGGTCAGGAGATGGTGAATGGGTATCATGCAGGTATGTCTTGCATCTGATCAGCTCCAAACACCTATTCTTCTTTCTCCCAGGCTGAAGCAGCTGAGCATCGAACCCTACAGTCAGGAAGAGGCTGAGAGGGCAGCGGGCATGGGCTCGTATGTGCCCCCCCAGCGCCTGGGTGTGCCCACAGAAGTGTCCACTGAGATCCCTGAGATGGACACATCCACCTGAGGGGCCTGAGGATATAGGGCAGAGAAACTGCCCATGGACAGTGGTTCAGTGCTAGTCTGAGAGTGTGTGCTTTGGTTTTTGGGGAGATGATCTCTTCTGGGTGTTCTGCCCAAAATAAAGGACCTGGACAAGAGGGCGTACCTCTGATTCTAACTTCCCTTCCAGTCCTGCAGAGTCCAGCCCTGCAAGGGTTTCTGAACCAAGATGTCTATTCCCCATCGGGCCCAGCTTTGGAACCCGTACCCCAGCCTGCCTTCTTTGAATCTGGGCTGGAGTGCAGGTACAGTGTAAAACTGGGGAGTAGGGTCAGGTTTATTCTGTGTTTGTGGCGATGGCAGAGACTGATCCCCCAAGGGGGAAGACATGGGTTTCTGAAGTTGCAGACCCTTCCCCTGAGTCACCTACCTGCAAGCCTGGGTGAGAGGCTGCCTGCCTCATCATGGCGCCTTGGACAGCTGCCGCTGCCTCACCATCTTCCACACGGCATAGCAGGAGCCACCCAGCCCGAGGACAGCCAGCGTCGTAGCCACAATCCCAACCAGCGGACTCCGGGGCTCTGCCTTCAGCTCCCCGGCCACCTGCATCTGGGAGAACACAAACGGTGGACATACGTGGTCAACGGAGACTTCTGGGTAGGAAGTGGATAAGATGGTGCTGCTGGGTGGAGAAGATGTGGACGCCATTTCTGCCCCAGGGAGATTCCACCCCGATCCCTCTCGCCTCACTGCCCATCTGGGTCCTGGCTAGTCAGGCAGCAGGGAACGTGACAGTCTGGCCGTTGGGGGTATCAGCCCCGCCGTGAGAAGGGGAGGGAGAGGTGGTACAGAAAGCCAGTATTTAGATGTACTTACCTGTAGCACTCGGAAGTAGCCAGGGGTCAGGCGGCGGAATCTCATAGTCGGGGCTCTGGTCTCCCTGTCCTGTGGAGTGGGGGCCGAAATGAAGACGACTAGATTTCCCAGGGTATCAAGAGGCGGAAACCAGGGCATAGGAGTCCCTGACCTGTTTTGCCTGGGCACTGTGTGTTCAGAGGATGCTCTCCGCTGCTGGCTTGCCCAAGTCTGGCAGGGGGTGGGGCAGCTGGATCTTTAAATCTGGTCCCTTCCCCCCTGCTTGCCAGCCTTAGGGGCAGCTGTCAGGAGAGATCAGCATCAGGCCTGAGTAGCAGCTCCTCCCCCATTCACCAGAGAGGCCAGGCCAGGCATGTAGGCAAAGCTTTGGCTGGCAGTGCCCAGGAGTCCAGGCATTAACCAGGTATGGGGCAGGCTTCCTCATCCCTGATCTGGACCCTACTGTAGCACAAATCCTAATTGGTCTTAATAAAAACCTGGAGCCATATATCGGGGTAAATGCTGAAAGATCAGAGAGACAAAGGAACAAGCCACAGCCACCTCTCACCTCACCAACTCCTCAGCCTTAAAGGACTGAGCTCCTGTCTCCTCCCGCCTTATATTCCTTTCTGTGCCCAGCCATATCACTTCCTGTCTCAACCTCCCTAGTGCTGGGATTAAAGGCATGTGTGCCTCCCAAGTACTGGGAGCAAAGGCATGAGATCCCAAGTGCTGGAATTAAAAGTGTGTGCCACCATTGCCTGGTCTCTATGGCTAACTAGTGTCTGGCTTTGCCTTCTGATCTGCAGGCAAGCTTTATTTGTTAGAGCATACACAAAATATCACCACACCATACTCCTACCTTGGATAAGTGAATGTACCAGTCAGCATTCAGCAAAAGAGGCCAGGTGACTTGTTAGTCACTTTTCCATTTGGATTCTGTAAATTCAACTACCTTTGAAGGGTATACTTCACCTTCTCCCCAAGATGGAGTTTCCACAAGAACTTCTCTTGTGTGGGCTTTAAAAGAGAATTGCTTATGCAGATAAAGTTCTCCATAATGTGTTGTTAAGTTTTTTTAATTACATCTATTTGTGTATATGTGCATGTGTTTGTATACACATGTGTGACGGCATATATGTGTGTGACGGCATACACATGGAGGTCAGAGGACAACTTGAGGGAGTTCTCTCCTTCCAACAAGGGGGTCCTGGGTGCCCAACTCAGCTCATCAGGCTTGGCAGCAAAGCCTTTACCCACAGAGCCGTTTTGACAGCCTGCATAATATATTAAAAGATTAATTAAAAAAAAATGGTCTCAGTGTCATTGTTACAAGAAATTTCTGTGTATTTTGTTATCTCTCTAGTTTTCTTTTTTGAGACAGGATCTCTCTGTATAACCCTGGCCATTCTGGAACTTGCTCTGTAGACCAGGCTGGCCTCGAACTCACAGAGATCCGCCTGCCTCTGCCTCCCAAGTGCTGGGGTTAAAGGCATGCGCCACCACTGCCCAGCTTTTTGCTGTCTTTGAAAATAACAAAAAGGATGATTTTCAGAATAGTGTGTAGAATATCTGTATAGAGAGGGCAGAGGGTGTGGTACTGTGACTGAGTGCCTGTCTGTCACTTGCAGGCTCTGGAATTGTCCCTAGCATCACAAAAAAGAAGAAATAAAAGAAAAACTAGGCCGGGTAGTGGTGGCGCACGCCTTTAACCCCAGCATTCTGGAAGCAGAGGCAGGTGGATCTCTGTGAGTTCGAGGCCAGCCTGGTCTACAGAGTGAGTTCCAGGACAGGCTCCAAAGCTACACAGAGAAATCCTGTCTTGAAAAACAAACAAAGAACTAGGCCAAAAATCGCTAGCTAGGCTTGGTGGCACAAGTCTGTAATCCCAGCACTCTGGAGGCAGAGGCAGAAAGGTCTCTGAATTGGGGGCCAGCGTGATCTCCATAGTGAGTTCCAGAACAGCCAGGTTTACAAAGAGAGACCTTGTCTCAAAAACAAGAAGAGAGACAAATAATACAGAGGTGAATATGGAGAAGACAGGATGAAACTCACCAGAGTTTGCACCTATCGTGTGTGAAGCCCTGGGCTTCCATCCCCAGCACCCCATGAACCAAGTGTCTCTTAGGTCTGTAACCCCAGTTCTCAGGAGAAGGATCACTAGGCTAAGGTCCTCTGGCATACAGGGAAGTCCAGGCCATCTGGGATTCCTAAGCCTGAAAAGCAAAGAAACAGCTTACAA